TTTTAAGCTAACAATTGAAATTTATGTGTATTTCTCAATATATTTTTTCTTTTAAGTTGGATAATTTAAAAAATCTTATTTGTTCAAGGACTAATATAAAATTTTCATATTTATAATGCTTGAATTTTTTTAACCCATTTATTGTGTCTAAATTAATTGTTACCGAAAAATTAAGTTTATTAATTTAATTTCAATAAATATTATATATATATATAATTATTAATCAGAGTGGATTAGATTTTTGAACTTATTTTGCTTAATGAGATAGGACGAGGCAGGTGAGACACTGGCATTTTGTTGTTTCGGCTTTTAATAACTTTTTATTAATCAATAGAAAATATTTAAAGTATTGTTTATAAATATTATAAATATAATAAATTTTTATTTACAATATAGGTGTAAAAGCCAGATGATTTTTATATATACAATAAATAAAAATAATGGTGATAAATCTTATGTAGTCTAAATTTTTTACATATTAATGCTTTATATGTTTGAAAAATATTAAATTTGTAAAAATTGAAATTTATAATTATTTCTCAATCATTTTGTTCTTTTAAGTTGGATAATTTAAAAAATCTTATTTGTTCAAGGAATAATTTTAATATTTTCATTTTTATGATGCTTGAATTTTTTTATTCCATTTATTGTGTCTAAATTAATTATTACTGAAAAATTAAGTTTATTTATTTAATTATTACTGAGAAGAGATAAGGTTAATTTTAGAAAATAGTTTCAATTATTGAGAAATTTAATGCTCTTAACTAAATTAACTAATTTTTCTAAGTGTAATTTAGTTGAAAGTCTTATAATTAAACACAAAGATAGTTCACACAAGACTATATCCAACTTGAATACTTTTGTTTTTCTATATTTTTGAAAAAATTCAAGCATTTAATTGTTATTTGTAATTTTATAAACATACGTAAAAACTGTAGTAACCCGTGTATATGCACATGTATCATTCTAGTTATTCAACAATAAGAAGCATACATGTTCAGTTCACATCCTTTTATAAAGTCAAATGATGAAAAGTAAAATTAATGTTTTATAAAAACTATAAAATATCTTATAAAAAGGAGTATCATTTCCAAATCGTACCTTATAAGGAGGGTCAAAGGGAGTATATTGAGGTAGGAGAAATATGACTGCAATCTCTCCTTTAACTTGCTCCGGCCGACATTGTTTATCTTACCCCTCAATTGGCAAATCTAGGTCTGCTTAAGCATATAATATTAGTAAGGTTTGCCTTTATCACCAACTTCAACCTCATCCTTCTCTGTGAGCTTAATGTACTTGACATGAATTTCATATTCGTTCTGCTTGAATTTCTGCAGACCTATATTACACATTCCCTTAAAGTGGAAGGTCTCCGAGGCATTGTAACAGTGCCCGCCAAGCTGGAGTCTACTTCCCTCGTCTTTGCCTATGGAGTAGATCTATTTTTTACTCAGATTGCTCCTTCTAGGACTTACGATTCACTAACAGAGGATTTCAGCTATGCTTTACTTCTTCTAACAATTGTTGCACTAGTAGCTGCAATATTTGTCACTTGGGTATTATCTGAGAGGAAAGATCTACAAGAGAAATGGAGATGATCTATCGTCCATTTTTGCCCCATACTTCCTCTCATTTTTGAAGTTTTAAGTAGGTTTATCTCACTTTTCTTTTAGTTATTACTTTTTAGTTACGTTCGGATGTCCGTTGAAACCTTGTAACTTGAATTGCAAAAGTAATTTAAAATTCCATTACATTCCAATGTCTGAGGTTGAATGGAGGATTATTTTTAATTTTCATGATGTAAATTGAGGATAATGAAAGAAAATCATTAACTTCCTAGGCTGATTGCATTTTGAAGTAACTATCGTAGGCGTATGTTGATGACATATTTTGCTCCTATTCTGAATGCAGCGTTTCATTTACAACTACGAGATCGGCAAAACATTATAGATCTCCTATTCAATCATTTTCCTTTTTCTGATTAATTATTGAGTCAGTTCATTATTTTTAATTGCTTTCATAAGTTTTTGATCAAGATTGCTTTCATATTTTAATATGCGACTGGAGGATTTTACTGTGAATATTTTGGTTATTAGTATTTGAAGCCTTTTGTAATTTGGCCGAGAGGTTACGTTTGCGATGTACGTTTTATCGATGTTAAGGTAACAGTATTAAAATTCTTCTTTTATGCCGGAGCCATTACTTTGATACACAAATATCAATATAGTAGTTTACTTGAGCATTGCCCCAGTCATCCAATGTATCGAAATAATGGATAAAATCCATTCTTAAAATTGATTTATTTATAATAAATTTAATTTATAGAGTTAAAAAAAAAGGCAAGCTAGATAACTGCATATGTGCAGTTTAGCTTTGAACATTAGAGGATCTGATTCTTATATAGATAAAGATAAAAATATGGTATTTTGAGATGATTTATAGAGAAATTTCAGTTAGTTGTCTTGTGGAATTGTTTATGAAATGTACATCCAAAATAGGGAAAAATTAATATTTAATCGAGAAGAGAGTGAGGGCTTCAATTTCAAGTTGAGTATTATGGTTTAAATTAATGCAGACATTTTTCAGGACTCTTTTTAACTTATTATTATTATTATTATTATTTTTTTTTTATTTTGATTGAAAGTGGTTAAAAATCACAAAATTGTGACTAATTCATTATTTAATGAACTACACTCATGATTTTATAATTTTCCGACAAACTTTAATCGATGAAAGATACACTCATAATTATGTAGATTTTAATCAATAAAAAGAGTATTAGAAGCACTGCCCATTTATTATTACTTTAAAACCGTGTCTAAAATAATTTCTATTTAATTAAAGTATAAAAAACTTTATAAGTATTTAATTTAAACTCTTTGTAAAATAAGTATTTTTTTTATCAGCTTTGTGGAATAAGTATAAGTATATTTAATCTTAAATTATTTAGTAGGCTTTTTTGGTGCAAAATTCTTTAATAGGTTAGGATCATACATTTAAGACAAATAAAATATTTTTATTATAAATTAAAGCATTATATCATATACATAATGAATTAAAATTATATAATATAATTTTTTATTAATTTACAAATATTAAACTTATTATGTTTAAATGTATTGTCGTAGATTAATTATGAATATATAATACTTTATTAATATGTTAATTAATATTTTAGTCTATGCAAGGTATATGTTAAATGTTTATTATATATAAGTAAAATTTTTAAAAAAATTATGTATATAAATAATAAATACTGTGTTTAAATATATAAATTATATTTTAGATTTATGATAAATGATTTATATTATAGTATAAGATTATTTTTATTTATTATTATTTATTTTAAATATTAACGTTTAATTCATAAATAATTATGATAAATAAAAATTAAATTAAATATAAAGTTAAAAAATTTCCTAAAAATTCTCTCTAAAGAAAATCTTTTAAAAATACTTTTACACACAATAACTCTTCATGTTTTTATTTTATTTTATTTTATTTTTTTTATTTTTATATATAGAGGATGATTTATTATTTGATGTGTTATACAAAATTTAAAAATGCACATATTTGATTATCATTTTTTCGAATATAGTTGAATTGATAAACCATGAGTATGTTAATTGATTCAATCACATATTCGATTTTAAAAGCGCCGGTAAAAACCACTTAACGGTATGGAATCATATTTTATCAAAATTAAATGATATCTTGGGCAAAGCATCTTATGGCAAATATAAATGGTATGGTTACCTAAAAGCGTGATTCAAACCATCTACAATTGGAAAACTAACTGCACACATAATGGCTATTAAAATGTTTATGTTATTTGATAACAAAAAAAAATGTAAACACAATTATAATTTTTAAAGGACATATGGCTGCATATGGAGCAGTTCATATGTAACATGCTGAGGACTTGCATCCATTTTTGTATATTAGAGACTCCTACTACTACTATTATTATTATTATTATAATTATAATAAATGTTCCAAAATTTGTTAAAACTCTGCATATTTTATTTGATTTTCAATTTTTTACTGTTAGGCCGACCTGATTTTAACCTCTATTATTTAAGACACGTGAAGTATATTTGAAGATGAAATTGTCTTGCAATTCTTTCACTTTGGTTTTAAGCACCTCCTCGTACATGCTTTTACGTACTAAATCTCATTATTCAGTATGTATTATCTGGATCAAGAATGCTTCGAATCTTCTCATCTCAATCTTGAATTTTTATGTTCGTATATAATAAAAAACTAAAATAATTATTTTTTGTCACAACTATAAAAAATCTAAGCATATATATATATATATATAAATTTGATGTCATACCTAACTAATAATTGGAGTAGGTTAATATAACATTGTCTTATTTTTATTTTATTTTTTAACTGTATATGTCCTATCTTTGTTATTAATTGAATTCATTGAAAAAGACAGCAGAAACTCACTAAATGCTATCTATCCTGTACTATGGAGATATTTTTTTTATAAAAGATATGCATGTAACAAACTCCTTAATAATTTCTTTCTGACATATTTTTCTTTTTAACAATAATATATCACCAATTTATACAATATTATTTTCTCTGACTATTTTTTCAATAACATCATTTATCTTATTTTATTTCTTTCCTCTTTTCCTTGCATAATTTGTTGTACTTATATTATTTTTATACTCAAAGTGTGATGACAATGACCTTCTTGCTAAAAATACATAACCAAAAAAAAAAAAATTATTTATGTAATAAATTTTATTATATAATTTTCTGTTCCAATTATTTTTTTTCTTAATTTTCACAATTATTACAAAAAAAATATACAGAAATGCAACTTGTGAAAAATTACTAATTAATATGTAAAATGAGCTGAGGAGGGGAATCAGATTTTGACCCATTCCATTGTTTTTCACGAAGGTGACAGAAATAATAGAGCCACGTCGTACCAAGAACAGTTTCATTATTGTCACCCCTAACAGTAACATAACACAACACAGTAGCAGATCGAAAATAGAAGCGAAACCAAAGACCAAAACACACTCTCTTCCTATCTTGTTCTCGTCATGAAAACCCACCATCATCATCAACCAAAACTGAAAACCCAACTCTTCTCATGCGGTTTCTTCCGTCACTGCGCCCAAACCGTCCTCAGCCCCACCGGCGCCACCCCTCCCCTCCCTCTCACCCCTCCTCGCTTCCAATGCGAATCCTCCACCTCTTCCTCTTCCTCCCAAAGCTTCACTCAATGGAGATTCTCTCCCACCAACACCAACACCAACACCAACATAAACACAAACACAAACACAAACAACCTCGTCAAAACAAACACAACCACAACCACAACCACTACCACTCTTCCTCCACCACCACAAATCCTTAACCTCCAAGAACTCTTCCACATTTCAGAGCTCCAACTAACCACCGACCCCACCACCGCCCTCCACCTTCTAGAACGTTCCCTCGTTCCCAACCCTCCCCAAGACCAACCCCCCTGCCCCACCAACCTCATGCGCGCCCTCATCCGCAACCTCCCCCTCGCCACCAAGATCCTCTTCGCCCTCTGCCTCTCCCATGTCAACCGTCGTGTCGCCGTCGAGACTGGTGCGGTCTCTGCGATCGTAGAGATCGCACCAGAGCTCGACGGCGCACCAGTTGAGCGCGCTCTCGCCGCGCTCGAACTCATGTGCACCCTACCCGAGGGCGCCGAAGAAGTGAGAGCCCATGCCCTCGCCGTGCCCGTCATGGTCACCATGATGGGCAAGACTGGCGCCCGCGGGAAGGAGTACGCCATCGGCGTGCTCGCTGTGGTCTACGGCGGCGCCGGGGCAGAGTTGCAGACAGCGCCGCCGGAAGAGGTGGCGCGTGCGGTGGAGCTCGCGCTGCAAGGAGAGTGCAGCGCGAGAGGAAGGAGGAAAGGAGCACAGTTGTTGAAGACATTGCAACAGCTCTCTCAGCCTGAAATTGAAGCTGAACCTCACACTCATGCTGCTAATTGAAACAAGGTTTTAAATTGTGTCGGCAATTTTATTACGTTTTTAGTATTGCAAAACCTTCACCATGTGGCCAAAATCTTAGTAAAATAAAATAACACTGTCTTTTAAACTTTTTTGGACTGTATATTATTATTCTTTTGAGCTTTTATGAATTTGACCTATTGTATTGCACTATCAAACTTGAACATATTGTGTATTGTTTTGTTGTAGCTAGTTTATTATTTTTATTAGGGTGAGATGAATGGTTAATGTATTTTTGGGCTTAATTGAACGTGGTGTGTTAATTATTATTGGCACCTTTACTTGTGTCGTTGTCGTGAGAGGATTGGATCAATCACCTTTACTTGCTGCTGCTGCATATGTATTGTGGTTGTTGTTTACTACTATCAACATCGATCAGTTCACGTTGGGAAACAGTTTGGTGAATATAGAAAGTCATTTTTATCGACATTATTGAAATCCAAGAGTACAAATAGTTGGATATATTAATTCAAATCTTGATGTCATTGAGGATTTGAGATTGCCTCTGGTGTTATATATGAAAAAAGTATTTTTATATGAATTAATTTCGCTGTGAATGGTTTTTACTCGGACAAAATATTTGCTTGTAAAAGGTATTGGTAACTTTAAACCAAAAAAGATCTTTGATGTCATGATTTTACGAATACATGGAATTGAACTAGTCAAGAAGGTTCGCCATTTTATTGACAGTTTGGCATGCGCGGAATTTGTTTTCACGTTTTATACCTTGCATTCAAAAATTAATTTTATTTTATATCTTTGACATTTGAGAAATTTTGGCAACAGTTAAACTACACAAATTTTGACAACAGTTTAACTTTTATGCACCGAAAATTTTATATTGTGAATTAATTAAACGATATATGTTACTCACTTTTAAAATGATTATTATAAAAATTAAGAAATTTATTGTACATTATTATTTATAATAAAATGATTTATGGTGGTGTAAAAAATCCTTTTGGTGTATATATACATTATTCACTCTTATTCTTGATGAGAGTTTAAGGATTAATTGTGATAAAGGTAGAAATTCAAAAATTCTCTATTCAGAAAAATACAAAATTTAAAGTGATTATAGTATATCATTTTTCGTAATAAAAAAATAGAATTTATTTATAGTTTATAACTTAATTTACACTTATCAAAATAACCATAACAATAATATGAAATTAAAGATTAATTAAAAGGAAATAAAATTTTGTAATAACTATAAAATTTTAGTACATAATTTTACTTTCCTTTCTCCTAAAAGTTAATATTTCATTGATAATGAACTTAGATTACGTGGTTTTCTGCTTTTTGAAGTAAAAAAATTAAAAGTGTACACATGCTACTATTTATATGTACTTGACTCTTTAACTTTATTCTTTTAAATTTTGGAAAAAGGTTGATAGGGCAAGGAACTGGCTTAGCTGGAACCTGAAGAAGTCGTGCATATACGACAACCTAAACTAATCCATTCCATTTTGAACCAGACTTATCTTTTCCACTGAAAGCTTAATTCAGTAATTCCAAAACCGAAATTTAATAACTTGGGACATTCAAAATTACCTTCAAATATTAACTAAATTTTGGTCTCACCTTAAGAATTAAATTTGAATTCCCAAAAGAATTTGAGCTAAGGCAATTTTAGTTAACTTAAAGTGTTGAATAAAATTTTATAACAAATTTTACTATTAACCTACTTTTAGGATAAAGTATATATTTATAAAAATAAGTCATTTCACTTCATAATTAATTTTAACTAAAATAAATTTTGTAAAACTCAAGGACATCGAATTTTTTAGTACATGCTATTATTTTATTTTATGATACTTAGTAAGTGAGTTTTTCATAGGAACATCAAAATTAAATGGCAAAATTTGACATCGATTGAAACTTGTTGAGGTGAGAGATTTCATTGGAAGAAGCATGCATCTGGGTTGAGGGCAATGTTGAGTATAAGATAATGAGTTTATATCCTGAAATTGAGCATGTCAGATTCACGTGGAGTGGGGTTAAGTTTCAGAAATTGCTGAAAATGTATGTTTGTTTCTGTGGGAAATATGTCAGATTTGGGAGAGAATAATGGTGCAACAGAGTGATGGCTCCATTTCCTGAACCCTTTACACATGGTACCATAATTAGTGCCAAAATATATCTTCTGGAGCTAGTTAATTAATTTAATTTTATATTAATTGCTTTTGTGAAAACAAATAAATCAGTTCGACCAATTAAAAGAAAATGAGGTTGCATGTATTAAATTTACTTTTTACTTTTTCTAAATATAAGATTCCTTATTAGGTAATCTTATTTTCTTAATAAGCTTCTCACTATGAAAGAGCCAAACTCTTTGAGTTCATGTTAGAGTAATTTATTCTAATTAATTATTAGCCAAGCAATGCGTCACAGCTATGAACTATCCTTTGTGTTGAAACATGAACTATCGAATGCATCTCTGAGTAAATATCTTAATTAAGTATTTATTTAATAAGAAATTATTAATAAATAATTATTTTTATAAGTTTGATCCCAATATTTGTAAAATAGAAAGTTGTTGAAATAATTTATAAAAAAATATATTATTTTTAACATTATTGATCATGAATAAACTTTATGAAAAATTTATTTGAAATTAAAATAAGTTTTTTAAATTTACGTTAGTAAATTTCACAGTGAAAATTTATGAATTAGATCTCATTTGATAAAGTTTATTAAAAATAATTTATTAAATTATTTACCCAAACGCACTCTAAAATAAACTAAAAAAATCATATTAATTAAGATTACCAGTCATTTTTATTTATAAATTCAAATAAGTTTTCTAACGACCTTATGGTATATATCTTAGTATCATGACATCATGCAGTACACCAATAACTAAATTATAAGAACAATTTTCTTATTTTATGAAATTAATTATATAATTTAGACAACCTCATAATATTTACTGTAAATCAGGTTTATAAAAAAAGTATTAACTTTTAAATTTTCTTAATGATTTCGTCAATTGAGTTTTTTAAATCTTCATATACTTATACTTTCTAAATTCTAATGATATATATTGTGTCTAATATAATAGTGGAAGTTGAGTAATATTATGAGTTGTCGAGTTTTATCTTCATTAGCACCATTTACCATTATATACCAAAAATTTTACATCTAATCTACTCTTCTCAATCCAGTTTATAAATGAATTATTGATCTTTATATTCTTCTTATAATGATTTTTCTAATAGTATTTCTTAGTATTCCTCTACCTCTAACGACAATTTATCCCTGCAACTTACTCAGGGTTTTACATACCTTTTCCAATCATGTCCAAACCACTTAATCAAAGGCATTCTACTCTCTTTTTTTCTTTTTTCTTTTTAACAATACATGAGTTTTTTTTTTTTTAAAACTAAAATATCTCAGTTAAAAATTAAAAACTAAACTCTCAAAATACTAAGATTCATTTAAAAGTTGACAAATATTTTTTTTATTTATAGAAATTACTTTAACTTTGTTGCTAATATATTTATTTTTATTATTATCTAGTATGCCCATTCATCTAAGATAATATTATCAATTATATTAGAATTAGTGTAAAAAAGATATTTCATATTTTCATATATTTTATTTAAAAATAAAAATAAAATAAATAAAAAATAATTAAAATTAAATATATGATGAATAATTAACAATTAGAGGTAAAGAGACTTTGATTTGTTATTTAGAGTGAGAGAAGTTTGAAAATAAAAGTAAGAAATTGAGGAAAAAAAATAAAATAATAAAGTATGAGAGAGAAAATATTATTTTAAAAGTTAAAAGATAAAATAACAAACACAATACCTTTAATTTACTAAATTGTTTCACACAAATTTAAGGAAGATAATTAAACACATTAAATTTTATAATTTCATATAAAATATATATTACGGTTATTAAAATATTCTTAATCATATTTATTATAAATAATATTTTTATTTATCACTTTAGCAGCATTTTTGGATTAAAAAATATTAAATAAGTTGTTTCAATTAAAAGTTGTTTATATTTGAGTCCAAAAAAATTTGTCACTAAAAACTATATATTTATACTCATATAATAAATATAATATATGTTAATATATTATTAAAAATTGTAGATATAAGATATAATAATACATAAAATATGTTGTTAAATCTCATTCAAAATTAATACTAAAATTGTGTGTAATTATATGTCAAATAGATATTTATCTACATATATTATACTTATAGTGACACTTTTTGTATGTCACTATATGTAACGTTTTTTTTTTGTAATGATATAGAGAAAGATAAATAGATGAGAAATGCATTTACTTAAAGAGTAAGAAGTCTAACTAGACTTAACCCACTTAATAACTAATATTTTACATTAAATTTTAACAATCCAACCATTTAATCAAAATTTTTTAATGTATAGATCAAGTTCTTAAAAAAATTGAAAAACATATGATACTTCATTTTACAAGTTTTAAATGTATAGATGGAGTTTGCCTATATGTCTAAAATCAAACTATTTGATATTCTGTTTCAAAGTATAGTTATAAAAGTTAATCATTCATATATTGTCAGTGTAAAGTTTTTTATATTGACAATCAATCATATCTTTTAAATTATTTTATTTTATTTTTATTTCATTAAATAAACAAATGACATAATACTATTAAAAGATATGATTGATTTTCAGTGTAAAAAAACTTTACACTGAAAGTATATAAGTGATTAACTCTAGTTATAATTATATAGTTTTTTTCTCTCTCTCTATATATAGAAATATTCACTTATAAGTGTAAGTTTACTTAAATTTACTCTACTCAATAATTCATATTCTATATTAAATTTTACCAATCTAACTATTAAATTATAAATTCTTAATGTATAGTTCAAATTTATAAATTTTAAAAAATATAAAAATTATTTAATATCTAATTTCATTAATTCAAATTAACATATATATATATAATTATAAAAATATTTCATATATTAATTTAAAATAATCATATATATATATATATATAAATAAATAAATAAATAAAAGTAGATTGATAGCCGTCCTCTTTTATTAGCCTTTTATCAGTGAAACAGTTCCACAAATTTGTGGGCCGAACTTTATAACTGTGGGGTAATTTATTTATTTTTTAAGATGCTTTTTGACAAATAATATTTGAGACACTCCTCTATTTTATACCCACTTCACTCGAGTCTCCTACGGTTTATTATGTCATAATTTTTCTATCTTTGTCGCTGTGGTGAAGTATCCAATTTTCACTTGCAGAATTGATGCATCTCCAACTAAACTTGCATTTAATATACTCCATCTTTTACTTAAACAACAGTTGTACTTCCAAAGTTGCCTCCGCATATCTCTAACATCTCATTTATTTATTTTTTATTTATCAACCTTTCAATTAAGATTATATTATCTGCAATTAAAATGCATGCACTGTAACACTAACTCTTAGATGTGTTCCATAAGCCAAGACTAAGGTAAAACCAAAGTTGACCCATGGTACAATTATCTTATCATTATAGAAAATTCTGTTGTGACCCCACCTTATGTTCTCACACTAACGATGACTCTCCTTTATACATGTCCTTCATTGCTCGAGTATTGGCAATATACACACACTCTAGTGCCTTACACTCCATGATCGTGTACTTTTTCAAATCAATAATCATCGTAGGAAGTATATTTGCTTCTCTTTGACATAAAACTAATATTTTTAATAATATGCATCTCTTGTATTAATAACCCCTTGATTACCCTTTTTCATGTAGCTTCAAAATAATTCATGAGCTTAATCCCCATAAAATCTGCACAATTTAACATATGATTTGAATTCTTTAGTATGAATCTCTTGCCTTAATTACCCAATCTCATAGCTGATAGCTCCATAAATTAATCTCCATAAAATTTTGCACAAATCTACATATCTTCTTAATTATTGGGAATAATTAGGGATTACATCTCATTTATTTCGTTAAACATGTTATATTATTTGATATAATAATCACTCATGTAATTATAAAAGAAAAAACTTAGTATATATCAATTAATTAAAGAGGCTTTAACATCATAAAAATCAACTAAAACAAGTAAAAGAAGGGGGAATCATTCATTAAAAAATTCTGAATTATTGCATTATAAATTGGAATATGTCTTCTAAGTTTTCTCATAAAAATTACAAAATTTAATAATAATGAGAAATATGTTATCTTATATTTCTAAAATATAATTTTCTTATTCGATAAATTCTACAAAATTACATATAATGTAAAATTCACTTTCCAAACAGCTTTTATCCATCCTTTTTTATGCTTCTTTCACCAGACTTTTCATGGAGGCTCCTACATTTTAGATAAGAATGTAAAACTTTGATCCTTGTATCTAGTGTTTACCATATCATAATTAATACAGTAAAAAAACGTGTTCTTCTTCGAATAGTTTTTTAAAGCAATTCTTTCATATCTTTTCTGGGCATCTTGTTCCATAATCAAGATTTTAACTTCTTCCTCGTTATATATTACGCTACCTTTAACAAGAGTGTCAACATATTTCTTTCTCCATCCTTAGATTCAACAAATGGCTTAATCCATTAAAAACTCCACCCTCGCTTTAATATATAATCTCTTCCATCTTATATCCCCCCAATATTCGACATATTGACACACACAAAAAATCACATTTTCCAACATTTCCTTTCGAACTTAATTAATTCCCAACAGTTAAATTTTACTTTCAATGATATGGATCAATACTTAAATGATACTTTCAACCATTACGAAGTACGTTTAGTATACTCCTTATTCATTCATTTCTACTGTCTCAATCTATGACGAGTTTTAAAATGTTTTGACGGAATTGTTAATTATTTTGGTTATTGGACTAAGCGCACGCAATCCGAGCAAGTAGCAAAATTATTTAACTAATAATAATTCAGTTAAAATAAAATTGTATTTTATGATTTTGAAACACAAAAGTAATGTAAAGCATTAAGAATAGTAACGAAGTGTATTCACAGTTAATACTGACACAATTGTTTACCTTTTCTTTATAATCTCGTGATAACTGATCTATGAAGTTAGTAATGAATTTGAAGAAAGATGGTAACAATTAAATATTGGATGAAGTAAACCTTTTCAAGTATTTTACATTTGTAGCAACATTAAGTTATATTGATATCTTGGAGCCCGTTTAATTTGGCTCAGTTCAGGTTTCTGAAAATATATATCAGTTAGAACGGCAATAATTTCACAAATAAGTAATAAGAAATATATGATTCGGAAATTTGAATTTGAGTTAGATATCCTTTTGATAACTATAACATTAGTACCATATATAATTATTATGAACAATAAAAAAACTTTTTTTGACAAAGTTGTATACTAAAATTTTAACTTGGTATATCACTAAGTAAATTTAAACAACTTAGTCTTATAATATGTAAAAACAAAAGTACTGAATATCATAATTATTATCTAAAAAAATTAATTTAACCTTCTAATTATGAGATTATTAAACTATACAGTAGGTAGCTTATGTAAAAAGAAAATACCCAACACTAACAATTTTTTTTTGTTATTTGTAAGTTGGAATATCTATTATCAATAAAAGTGAATATATATATATTATGCATTATATTAATCAATCATCAAAATTATAGATTAATTTAAATGAGATTGTTTCAACTTAATTAATAATCTTGATTCTTGAATTTGAATTATAAGTATATAAATATGTAAAATATTTTTTTAAAAAAATTGTCATTCATAATGATTTATCTTGTTCAATGAAAGATATATGTGGTATAGAAAATTATATCAATCACCAGAAAGTATGTGTAAATGCTTTACATACGCATTCGATTAAGTTATTATCCATCGCATGAGAATGAGTAGATGGATAACTTTTTGCAGTTCAAAGAAACTTCAATTTGTTTATAGATAGTTTCTTCTTTGCCATTAAAGCTTTAGCTTTATTTATTGATAGAAATGCCCCCACCTAACCTATTATCAATGGGGCACCGGCATTATCATATCATGCATCCATGTTAGCCCCTACCATCGACTCAAAACTTGGCCATTCATGCCATGACTTCACACGCAATTCCTATATACATACGCCTAGGCTGATCTAAATCTAAATGACTACGTACACATAATCACAACCAACAAATGAAAAAGAACTTCCCTTGGCTGTGCCCATTATAATCTTTTTAATTAAGCTTTGCTCGTTGAATTGAATCCAATTTTATGAATGGTCATGTTAATCAAAATAACCTTGAAGCCATGGTAGTGGCCAACTCATACGTTGGCTTGCTCCTAATAAGGGAATGCATACTTAGCAGATTTATTAGCTTAACTCGGATAAGTACTATAATGCCTGTGTGGGGCTTCCTTAATTGATGGATAAGAGTAATGACTAATTAATGATGTAGGTATAATAATTTTTTTCATTATTTATACAATTCATTATTTTTATCCTTTTCCATCACACTCCTCTCTTGTCCTATCTTCTTTTTACATTGTAAGAATTGTTATTATAGAAATTAGAAAGTTGGGAGGAGGAAGGAGTATTATTACTGGATTGATAAAGTTGAACAACCTGGCTCTAGTGGCTGCTCCTGATTGGGAAGGTGTCAGTGTGGGGGACTTATTACCACGTGCTACCTCCTTTTATTACCCACTCAATAAATCTTTATTAGAGATTCAATAATTCCACCCATTTCAATAAACTTCTAATCAATTTTAACGCCTGATTATGAATTACTTATAATCAACAAAAATATATTGAGATTCAAACTTAAATCATTCCGTTTTCATAATTAGTACCCATTTTTTATAAAAGAACTAAACAAAAAATTTAATGCTGCACATTGCAAGGGTTGGTTCTCCTGCCAGCTCATGCTGGGGCAAATTAAACTGCAGTGGGTCTGTTCATGCCTCCATGGTCATGTTGTAGGGCTTTTATACTACGTTACTGCTTCAAAATCAGAAGGGCATGCTAAGATAATATATACAAGGTTGGATGCACAAGTTTTCTTTTCCTTGATACATTCCAAACTAGGATGAGGATCCTCTAAATTTCCCAAGAATTTTGGTGTGCACTGCAGACAAGACATTAATTAAAATCTGGACTTTTCATTAGTATATAAAAGTACATCAAAGATTAATAAAATGGCACGTCATTAACTTTCACTAAGACTAGTTATAGTCTCCTCAAAAAGCAACTAATGTTTGCAGCGGCTTCTTCCAATAGAATTTAAAACAAATATATTAATTTCTTGACACAAGGGTTAATTTCGTCGAGCCAAATTTTACAAATTACTGCGAATTCACAATGTACGAGTTCAAAACATCATACGTACAACATTGTGTACTTTTAGTTTTCGTCAAACTGTTCACATGCCGAATTTAAATTATCCCGAAAAAGAAAAGTTGCTATAGAAGAAAAATATTCCTACGTATACGAATACGAGGTGGACGTATTTAGAACCACCGACTAGTCAACCATTTCTATAATGATCAGAAAATAACTCCCCTTCTAATTATAGTGACAAGCCATGTGGGATCAATGAGGTATGAATGCCTTTATCATTATTTTTTTAGCATGTTGTTACTCTATTTCATAAAAACTAATAATCCAAAACTCCTAGGTATTAGCCTTTTTTTAGTACTCCATTTCATAATGCCTGTATTGATTGCTTTTATTTTCTACACAGTTTCTGAAACTCATAGGTATCAACAACCAACTCGATAGAAATTGAATAGTGGATCAAGGAGGAATGAAATGAGTCATTGACTATTAGACCAAAATTAAACCCTATAAATATTAATTAACAAGGTCATAAATTCTAATCTTGATATTGTCATTATAAATCTTATTGATGAAAAAATTGACACTAGTGTACCACTAAAAAGTGTATATTTACTATATTTTAGACTGCTGAAAAATTGTTTTTATATTTGAAGGTGCACCAAATCTGAAATAGATAATTTATAGTTTTTTATATTATATGTATCCATGTTTTCAAATTAGTTTATGAGGGATACCAGCAATTCAAAATGAACTTGAGGAAACAGAAGATACATAGATGTAGAAGATGGGCTTCTGTTTAGTACCCTTCTAAAGGCAAATCCCGTCATGTATTAGAATAATATTTGGCATTAATGACTTGACTACAACTCCTAACCATTCCCCCACACCTACCAAAAAAGTAGAAAGATGAAACAAATCCGTTACCTGTGCAGCCTGAAACCAGTTCATCACAATAATTGTAAGGACTAAGCCAAATGTGTATCCTAGAAATGCACTTTTGAAATACTGAGGCTGTTTTCCTCTAGACACGTCATACCTCAAAGCCAATGCCACAAAAATACCTAAAGGAAAAAAAAATAATTATTAATCAAATTATATTGAAGTAACAACCAAATGATTATAGAGAAAAAAATTATTCCACACATGAATGGATCATATACATCAAGTGGCTGCAGCATAAACATTTTGAAAATTGTCAAAGATCCTGATAAAGTCACAAACTCAACAATTTAACAGTTCAACTCAACAAAGCAGATACTTGTATTGGGAAATACACCACAAGTGTTGACCTTTTACCTGAAGCCTGAAGGTAAAAGGTCAACACTCATGAGTCATGACCATTTACCTTCCTCTCACTTCCCTCATTTAATAATTCAAGAAGGAGGAACAAGGGGTCATGACTCTTTTCCATTTCATCCCCTCTCATTCCATTTTATTTAGTATTAAAGTCCCTACTGCATCATTCCAAACAGGCTTTTCCACACCAAGTCTAGCCAATTTCATCATGTAATCCAACAAATTTGAACTTGTGACATGAGAGCAAGGTGAAATGCAGACTCACTTCTCATGAGTCAATAATTTAGTCTTTCTCCATTCCATACCATTTTCTCAAAAACTTCCAAACACAGGTAAGCAAAATCTGATGCTAGTTACATACCAAGAACTGAACTGTATTTTGCAGAGAATTTCTCAAAAGAAATACACCAATATATCAATGAAGACTTATCCTACCAGGGATAACAATATCTCCAAGTCCAAGCATTGAAAACGGCCTTGCAGAATCAGATGTGGGGAACAAAAGCTGCGAAATAATTGTAATGATGACAATATTAGGTAGAAAATTATTAAAAATTTTATCTGATATCACAGTAAATACACAATTAAAATTCAGAAAGATGAGCAAACAAAAATTTCCATTTCATTTAGCAAAAATTTTAACCTTTATTGGAGCATCAAATGATTTTGCGACGCTAACCATCACTGGAGTAAAGAAAACCCAGAAAATGTCATATACAAATAGACCTGCCTGTAAAATACATGAATGTAAGAGTCAAAAACCATATTGAAAAAGGATTGTATGAATGTTTTCTTAAAGAGAAGTTTGAGCATTAATAATTACAAAAAAAAAGAAGAAAGAAAAACACCTACCAAGAGAATAGCACCAGTCTTGAAAGACCCAAGAGAAAGCATTTCAATTCCCTGCAAGTAATAAATATGTAGTCATCAGATTCAATAACTGTTTAGTAATCAAAATCGATTCACAATTTTACGCTGACATTCATAAGCATAAATGATAGAATGGTGAAATTTATTTTTCAATTCCTTTTCGAAGCAATAAGATTGGTTCTAAAAAGGTATTGCTTCAAACCATGAAGAAAGTTGATACCAAAAAATTAGTATATAAAATATGGTCAATTGATTGGTTCAATAGACAAAAAAAACTTTTTTATAAATAGGCACATTTATTATATACATGAAATGAGACAAACCTGAATACAGAAAGCAAGGCCCAATATATTATTTGCCAGCCAATGCTTATGCGAAGCATACCAGGCACAGAAAAAAGTACCAGGGATTCCAGCAACGATCTGTGACCTTGTAAACTCAATCTCCAAAGCTGTGTAAGAAAAGTGAAGGAAAAATATATCATTCTGCATGATAGAAGCAAGTTAATGATAACCATATCAACAGAACAACACAAACAATTCAACACAAAAGGATCTTCGAATCATCATGATAATAAATAAAGTATTAAAAAAACCAACACCATAGCTAGTAAGGTGTAATAATTAGCCAAAGACATTAGTTATCATACATGACCAACCAAACTTTGAAATGAAGTTAATCATATAATTAGTGGACGTATTTAGAACCACCGACTAGTCAACCATTTCTATAATGATCAGAAAATAACTCCCCTTCTAATTATAGTGACAAGCCATGTGGGATCAATGAGGTATGAATGCCTTTATCATTATTTTGTGTTCTACTTGGTTGAATTTCTAATTATATATATATATATATATGAAGGCATGGTTTCCACTTTCCTGAGTCTAAAGGAAAGAATATAATACGTAGAGTGAGTGTAGCCATGTTCCTCGAAGCATCTGTCAAAAGCCCTATCCAAGCTTCTTCAACACTCTCTGCATATCTCACAAAGGAGAGGGAGGAGCGCAAAGTTATTTGATTATTTCTTTGATTCCAAAGTATAGATTGGTACATTCGAAAAAAAATATAGGTGGCAGATTATGATTCATTTTAATTAAAATCACCGGTTGAATTGAAGGAATAAAAAAACAAACAAATAAATAAACGTCCGGTTGAGATTTTAAGCACTGTGCATCCTATGGTTTCTAGGCACGTATTCTAAAAATGATCTTTAATTCTTGATACAAAATCCTCACGTAGTCAAAATCCTAATTGAAACGTGAAAACCCGGTATTACTCACTATCGTAACTTGATGTATCGTTATTTATCTAGATTTTAATTTTTATCAACTACTTGATCGCCGTGCGGAAATGTTCATTTTGATAAAAAAAATAAATTAATTAAAACACTTGATATATATTCCCTTTTTTTGTGCAAATATTTCGAATAATACAAAATAGAGTCAAATTTGATACTGTTGATCTATGATTAAATAATTGTTTTCTACCTGATCTTACTATTTTTTATTAGTAATTACTAGCAGATATTAACAATAACATTAACGTGCATCGATCTATAGGTAAAATTATCTTTATAGCATGGATTCAATTCAAAAGGAGTATATATAACCCCCTACGATTTCACGGATGATGTTCAGATTGATCAAGATGGACTATACAAAGTGAAGAATTTGCAGAGATAGCTTGGTAGCATCAACACAATTTGCTGTGTATATATAGAAAATTAGAAATTATTTCCCGGGTCCTTACCCAATTCTGTATTAGCCTCCATATATCAGCTCGAGCGTGGCATAATAATTTCTTCATGCATTTTATATGGTGCATGTGACATGTTAATTATTCTTCTTCGTTTGAGCATGCAATAACGAAGCCTAAAAGTTCAATAAATCTCATAAACATCCAATCGCAGAGATAGAACAATGCAAGAAGCTTGTAAAAGGCACCACTTTCACATTGTAGGTTGAAGAATAATGGCCAAATCTGTTATCATTATATATCAAGGCAAACTGCAAGTCTCTGCTTCATGATACGTACTTATACATTCTACAAGAATTGGTACTGTATGTATTCCGGATCCAAGAAGGAAAGGATTATTCATTATCAGTGATTCTTTCTTTGAGAATACAGCTACATATAATCTTCCCTGATGGGACAAAAAAGACCTAATAAAGCATGAAATTTTCTTTTATGTGCTTACCTAATTCTCTAGTGGATGAACGTGGAAGACCCTACGTTAACTCCTAAATGTTAAAAGGGAGGATGTTAGTTACATTCTTCAATATAGAGCGAACATTCTTGTGGTTGCAGCTAGCATGTATCCATAAGTTTAATCAGGTTACTTAGAGCAACTCTAATGGGAGTTGCTTGTCTCATGACGCAACTCAAGTCGCGGTTTCTTGTCATTGGAGGACTCTGATGTGGCAACATGAGTTGCTTGAAGAAGAGAGAGAATTGCTTCTTCAAGCAACCGTTCTTTACCAAATTTCAAGCAGATCTTATTGAACATATTTGATAACGTTTCAGAAATAATAATGATAAAAATTAATTTCGTATAATGTTTATGTATTTACTATTGTTTTATTTTATTTTTAATATCTACTTATTGTGTATTTTTTCTCGTAATTTATTTTCTTTCATTATAGTGCAATTATCCTTTTTAATAAAAATTTAAATTTGGTCATAAATGATTAGAAAAAAATTCTAAAAGTTGAATTTCTTAAAATTTCTTACTATTAGAGTAAATTTGTATTTGAATTACTTAATACTGACATGGCACAATAAAAATTATTTTTTTTATTTTTTAATACATAAAACAACTCAAATAAATTACTTTTATCGGATCAATAAATGGATCCTCAAAATGTGTTCACTAATAAGAGATATTGTATGAGTGAGAAACAGAAAAGGGTGACGAGTGTGCTCTAGACTCTTCAAGGACTATGCTCTACTTGTACCAAAGGCAGACATCGATGTAGTGTAGTTATCTCATAAATAGGGGGTTATACACATATTTGATATTTCTGCATACAAGGTCTTGTCAACAAGGTAGCTAGAGTTTGTAGGTATTTACTTTCTTTAATAGCATGATGCCTTTTATGGTACAAAGCTTTTCTTTTGTCTGTGCATGCTCAAAGCACCGTTTTCTCCTTACTCTTTCTTGTTAATTAATTTCCCCCAACAATGCCGGAGAAGAAACCAGATCTTGTCATGGTTTTCTAGTGATTGAGCCATTGTACCGATTTCAGTTTCAGAATCCAAACGAACTACTGAGTATTGACACCATACTATATATTAAAGAATTAAAGCAACTGCCACTGTTAACAATGTTATATAACGAAAACTTATTACGTATGAAATTCACAAGCAACAAGATCATTATCATAGGCATTACGCATACCAATTTGCAATGGCGTGGAAGTTTGTTTTGTTTAGGGTTGGCATCAATATCACTATAAGCGAACACATCGACCTAATGAAGGTTTTCTTCTGGGTTAACAAATTATACTCCAGCCTTTAATTTCTCTTTTATATTTTTAAAAGAAGTATATTGCTCTATTAATTCATTTTTTTTCATGCTTAAAAGCAACAAATCTTACTCTTTTTTTTACTTGAATATTTGCATTTCATTCCATCTTTTCTTATCAATTGGCCTCCGATTCTACCTGTAAAGAATCATATGGCGTGGATAAATGATGGTCGTTCCTTCTTTAAAATTTTCATCATTATTTTTCAATATGATAAAATATAATTTTAGGTTCATTCATTACGTTATCCCACTCACGTATAATCTCTAAATTAATTCATTAATTTTTAATTAACAATTTGGGTAAGTTATCGTGTTATTTAAGTAGTATTTTTTTTTTTTTTTTTGTATTTGTAGCGCATAAACGGGGTATATATTACTACTTACAAGACCGTGTTAAACAAATCACTTAAAATTATTCTTTATTAATGTACAAATCATACGGAGCCAAAGTTATGTACAGCTATAACATTTCCTATAAGATTCACATTTTTTTATAGAGAAAATAACATATTACACTCGATTAGGTTAAGGTAAAAACATGTTACCTTAATATTCAGAATGGTAAATATACATGTTGAGTAGAGCACTTCACACTTAATAATCTGCAGAAGGAAAAAAGAGGAGAGGCTATAAAACTGAGCAGCCCCTTTGAAATTGATGAACTAATTTGGTGAGTTGAATCCCAAATTAGGAGGAAAGTGAAAGAAAGGGGGGAGACTAGCTAAAAGGAAATAATTAAGAAAAACCGAAACTAAAGAAACAGAGCCTGTGGTTGCAGTAATTGCATGCATGCCGAATGGTCTGAACCAGAAAGTTCATAATACCGCGTGTTAACTTCTGTCTGGAGGTTCTTACGTTACATCTAAGAGACAATAAAGGTGTCAGCAACAAAATTTTACTCCTTTTTGTGCTAGGAATGAATTTTGTGTGCGTGTAGCAAGATTAAGTTTTCGATTTCCAGATGTGTGGGTAATTGTAATTGGGGGAATTAGCGTACTATGTTTTGACCTACTCATTTCCCTCAAAGGCTAATAAAAGGGAAAAGGGCAATTAAGCAGAAAATGCAAAAGCTAATCCACCCTTTGTCGTTTCTATATTTCCAATTTTCCATCGCACAATCATTGTAATTCGTCTCTTATTTTTGTTTCCCGAAACCCGTTACTCTCTTTTCTGCTCTTCTAGTTTCTTTCTTGCAATTTCGTTAGCTTAAGATCTACGACGTTAAACAGTAACAGATATCAGAAAGAGGAAAACATATATAATGTTCTGTGTGAACAAAAATTATATAAACAACAATTTAAGTATATAAATGATTAAGTTTAAATGTTAATTACTAATTTTTTTTAAGAAAGTTAATTACTAGTCATTTAAATATTTAGAAAAGTTATACATATTTATATTTTAATGTTGTCTATTTAAATAAATCCACTCATTAATAGTTATTATTTTTATTGCTTACGATAATTAAATATTTTCATCAAAGCTTTTTATTTATTATTATTATTTAGAGCACGTATCCCATTTGAACTTGAGAGTTGAGACCATTATTAAGTTGAAGCAATCTCATTTTAATGGTTCATGTATTCGGTGGTACATTAAAGTCTCTTTATATTATAAATAATTTTAAATTTAACATTTCTTAAACTAATTGTGTTTTATGCATATGAGGCTCTCTATTATAACATGAGTAAGATCAGTGATGAATCCAGAAATTTGAAATAATGGAGATAATATTTATATATAAATTTATAGTAATAAATATATTTCATATTTTTAAAATAAAAATATATATTTTAATTATTTTTTTATGAGATATTATATTTTAAAAATATTAAATAATTTTCTCATTTTTAACATCTTTAAAATTATTTTTCGCTATATAAGTAATTAAACAATTATTTAACCATTAATTTTTCATACTAAGACTGTCTTTATAAAAAAAGTATAACATGACACACACATATGAGTTTGTTAATTTACAATTATTTATTTATTTTTAAAAAAGAACAAGTTAGCAAGTTACATCTTGATACATTTTAAAAAATATTATGATTATAACTTGCTAATATACTCATTATATATATATAAAAAAAGATATATGCTATCAAATCTCATATACATTTAATAACTTACATCCATTTATTTTTAAGAAAAATTAAGTTAACAAGTTATACTCAAAAGTATTTTTTTAAAAAAAATAACTTCAAAAATAATATATTGATTTTAATTTTTTTACAACATAAAACATAAAAGGTAATGGAATACTTAATTTTTAACATGATAAGTAGTATATTTTATTATTATTATTATTATTATTATATATATATATATATATAGAGAAAATAATTGGAGGCATTTGCCCCACTTGCACAAAGGTGGATCCATCCCTAAGTAAGATGGTTGATATAATAAATATAGATAAAGAAAGCTAATAATAAAAAAAATGTTTATGATTAATAATATATTTTTGTAAGATGCAAATTTTGCTATTGTCTTAGATAATTCATAACAATAAAGATTACTTTTATCTTTAGTTTTCCTTGATGATTGCAATTAGAAAATTAATGTAATTATTTTGGAATACTTTACGACACACATTTTGTAGAGTTAATTTATATGTTGATTAACTTGCAAAATATGATATCAATGATGATGTTCCTTTTCAAAATTAGAACCAATTTGCCTGTGCTAACTTTTGTGTTGTTATATGATGTTATGAATATATTACATTTGAAACTATAATTTGTGCTTCTTACTTTGTCATAACAAAATATTCCCTTGTGAGAAAACTAACAACTTGTATATACAACATAAGTAATGTTATAGAGTGGCTAATAGACTACCATAAATACAATAGTTGAGAGAGTTATATTTAGAAAATTAAGGTATTTGAAAAATTATAGTTAACACTCACTCTTTAAAAAAAAAATTAATAGGAGCTGAAGTCCCATTTAAGAAATGGCGAACGTTAAACTATGATGTATGTTATGAGAAAAAACTCTCACTTTGTATAATTAAAGTTTTTAAAATAAATATAGTATACAATTTCATTCTTAAAAGTGACAATATGTTTTGATTTAGTTTATCAAAGTTTATATTACATAATTTAGTTTCTAAACCTATCACTTATATGATAAATTAACTTTTAGCATAAAATTGACCAAATTTAGAGTACTAAATAAGTCATTAACCTAATAAATTTAGTGACATAATGGACTGAGTGTTATAAAGGCTTCAAACTTTAATCATTCTCTTATCTTATGGGATTCTACTTAATCTTTAGATGCCCTTATTGGTCTTCATCCACCCGTGTATAGCTGTGTCACTTAATTTCCCTCTCCCCAATGGTAGCCGGAGTTCACACAATCCAAAATAGAAAGACAAAAAAATTATATATTTACTTTTTTTCCCCCTATGCACAACCATTGAATGTTCAATTACACATAATGAACATATACATTTTTTCTCTTTACATTAAAAAAAGGTAGAAATGACTTCTTTTTTTGTTGAGGTATAAATGACTATTTAAAACAGTACACGAGCTAACCAGTCAATTAAGAAGTTATTATAATTGACATTTATTTCGAATTTAATACTGCTTTTATAAATAAATACAGCAGAGTTGCATAATTAAAATGCATTAGCTCATAGGTTTCTTACATTATTATTTAATCATAAACTATCATATAATTAAAAATTGTAAATTTTTGTAATAATTACTTCAAAACTATTTCTAATGAATTGTTAAAGTAAATATTTGCAATAACAAAATATCAAAATTAAAACTTAATAAAGTTATAGGAAATTAAAGAGTAATTTTCTCCGAATTACTTATGGACCTAAACCATCCCCCTCCCCAAAATGTATACAAGAAATTTTCTTGTTTTGCTCTCGATAAGCAATGGTACTCGCAAAAAAAAAGGTGATTAGTACTTTTATAATTTGACAAGGGGAGTATAAATTACCAACTACTTTCTCTGCCCCCTTACCAGTTCCTGCCACTTAACATGTTACGACTGAATAAGTGTTCTGATGAACGTAAGATAAATCCTACTACAATGACAGCATACGAACTTCATAAATATGCACGGAAAGAGATGGGGATGGGGACAAGCGAGGAATAATGGAATATAAAATGTCAATATCTAAATTATATGTTCTGTAGAAAGGAACTCACATCTTAGCAACAAACTATATCTTTCACCTTGGTTTTGGCACTTGTATGAATTGTAACCACGGTATTTTAAGTCTATACGGGGCTATTTTGAGACTTCCCCGTAAACTTTTATGACACCAAACTAATACTTTTAAGGAGCTATCCCGATGCTTCCCCATAAATTTAACGACACCAACATGATAGACGAAAACATTTTTTTGCTCACATTAATACTAATTACAACAAGTTCATTAAATACGTGCACAATGGCCTTCTGTGTCTGACTTATGTATCACTCAGCTTTCGAAAGGGCATCCGATCAATCCCTCCCCGAGTCAACGAGTTTCAGTTTCCAAGTCAAAAGTCTGCTTCTACGCTGAGAATGAATGTCATTTTGCATTCTCAGGTTGCATGAAAATACTTCACCTGCTTAAGGTAAAATAAGGTGTATCAAAGAAAAGCCGTAGCATAAATTCATAGCATTATAACGAAATTCAGGAGATCTGAAAAGCTACCAGATTATGGAACAATGAAGGGTTTCAATGTTTTGAATGTTCTTTCATTTTAGTTCCCTTAAAATTCCTCTGCTGCTTGTATCCAAATGAAATGGGGACGCGTGGCCTGTTTTTGGGAATACTCTTCTCGAATTTCAGATCTTCTCCTCTGATCATATAGATATTCCCTGTTTCTGGTATGGTGAGATCAGCTGGATTCCTGTTCACCATACATGAGTTTCCAGAGATGATTTTATATGGCACTGATGCTTGCAATCTGCGCTGCAGTGATGTTTCTGTTTCAATATGTGGCCAACTAATTTGCTTACTGACACTATTCTGCAGGGTAGAGTTGGAGCTCTTTATTTTTTCTTTCTTTCCAGTCTTCGTTGGATTCTGACCATTGAAACCAGTAGCTATAACTTTCTTATCGTGCGGAGTTGATGAGGATGCACCAAAGGTTGGAGAGCCAACAAAACAGCCATGCGGTTTATCTGATAAGAAATTTCTGCTATAATAATCAGATGATATCCTTTTCATGGTACCAGGGGGCTTAGACGTACCAATCTCCAACTTAGTGTTGCAATCACCTGGATAGGAGGGTCTTTTAAGCATTTGAGCACTGACACCCACATCATAGGATGTACGGGACGACTGCATACCTGCATCCATAAGGCTGAGTAAATGCATGGCTGGTATTGTCTCATTAGAATACAAATCAAGAGATCCCCTCAAATTTTGATGAGGCTCCATTCCGCTATGTTTGCAAGGAAATGAATATTCTCCATTCATCCTGCTGAAGGTT